CCTCCGGCAGGATCGCATCTCTGGTGAGCAGCTTGGGTGGCAGGTGGTGCCCCTGGCCTCCTGTGAGCTCCCAGCCCCTCCCACAACTGCCCAGGCAGGTGCAAATGTCTTCTTAGGGGTCCAGGAAGGGGGAGCTCCAGGTCTCCCTGAGGATGCTGATAGGTAAGGGCCTGAAGGGTGTCAGATCTCAGCTAGCGACTCCCCTGAGGGCCATGATGGGCCATGTCAGTGTGGCTGCTGAATCGGGAGTGGGGGTGGGTTGGTTCTCCCATAGGGAGAAGATGAGCAGGACAAGTTGACCCAACTGCAGCAGACCGTCATGCCTGAGGGCCCCGATTCCATCTCCTACAATGCCAAAGTCAAGACAGAACAGAAGGTAACTTGGAGGGAGAGAGGGTTCATGTCTCTAGGAGGATGGGGCCTCAGGACAGCAACTTCACACTCCCTGATCTAGAATGAGGCTGGGGAGAGAGCCAACCCACACAGGTCCACAATCACCCACAGTGAGGCTGGGGAGGGACCACAGTCATCCACAGTGAGCCTGGGGAGGGACAGAGCCAGCCCACACAGGTCCACAATCACTCATAGTGAACCTGGAGAGGGACAGAGCCAACCCACGCAGGTCCACAATCACCCACAGTGAGGCTGGGGAGGGACAGAGCCAGCCCACACAGGTCCACAATCACTGAAGCTGGGGAAGGACAGAGCCAGCCCATGCAGGTCCCCAATCACCCACGGTGAACCTGGAGAGAGACAGAGCTAGCCCACGCAGGTCCACAATCACTCACAGTGAGGCTGGGGAGGGACAGAGCTAGCTCACACAGGTCCAGGGTCACCAACAGTCAGTAGTAGGTTCCTCTTGCCTGTTCCTGACTTGGGGCTAGCCCGGGAGGTGTCCCACAGACCATGGCCAGGCTTAACCATGACTGACAAAGGCCAAGCTAGCCCATAGGGGGAAGTCCCAGCTCAGGACATGGCTCAGGGAGCCCTGGAGGCCAGTGCCTGTCAAGGAGGACCTCACCAACAGGGACTGCCCGGCACAGGGGGCAAGGGACAGAGGCCCACATGCAGCCAAGAAAGAGCTAGACATTCTGAGCCACAGTCTGGGCCTAGGACTGCCCTCCCTGAGCAGGCTGGGTGGGAGCAGAGTCAACACTTGACCGAGACCCAGGCAGGAGCCAGAAAGCAGATGTCCTGTGTCACCCCTGGCTCCAAAGGCCATCCTTAGCATGTGTTGGATGCTCATGGGGTGACTGCCCAGGGAGCTCATTGCGCTGTGTGATCATTTGTTTATATTTTCTTTTGCTAAAAATTTATTTGAAAGGCAGAGTTAGAGAGTCTCCTGTGTAGTGATTCACTTCCCAAAGTCTGGGGCTGGGCCAGGCTGAAGCGGGGTGCTGGAACTCCACGCAGGCCTCCCCGTGGGTGGCAGGAGCCCAAGCACTGGGACCATCTTCTGTAGCCATTAGTGTCCACCAGTGCTGAAGCCCAAGGAAGAGATTGAGGGAACGGTTTGTCCACGGATTCCAAAGGCCCTGCAGGCAGCACTGTTCACTTGGGGGTCATCTTAGAACGCAGATTCCCACACTGTAGGTCTGGGATGGGACCTAGAGACTGCATTTCTTTCTTCCCTTCCTTCCTTCCTTTTTTTTTTAAAAAAAATAAACTCATTTATTTGAAAGACAAAGTTAGAGGGAAAGAATGAGATTTTTCAATCCACTGGTTTACTCCCCAAATGACTGTGCGACAGCCAGGGCTAGACCAGGGCAGAGCCAAGAGCCAGGGACTTCTAGTTCTCCCATGTGTGTGCAGGAGCTCAAGGCAAGCACTTGGGTCCATCCTCCACTATTCTCCGGGTGAAGTAGAGGAGCTAGAACTTGAACTAGTGTCTGTATGGATGTCAGCATTACAGGCAGCAGCTCACTGTTCTGTACCACAGTGCTGGTCCCAACTTCCTAATATTTGATAAAGCTTTCCTTCATCTCCAGAAACCAGTTAAGCCCTAGTGACCTGTGTGACAAGAGGAACTGATGGCCACAGGCAAGTCCTGCACAAGAATCCAGCAAATGTAAAAGGGAAAGCATGCCTATAGTGCTTAGGAACAAAAAAGTTGTCGTTATAAATGCGGTTTCATGGCAAAAAAGGAAAAAAAGCTGTTGCTTCCTATTTTTCTGCCTCTCTCCCAGTGGACTTTTACTGATGTGCTTGTGTGTGTGTGTGTGTGTGTGTGTGTCTTTGTGTGTGGATTTTAATCATGAGCTCATAATCAGCTGAGCTTCAGCTCTAGGAGCCCTAAGCACATAAGTTGCAACCACTTTCCTCCTGAAGGGAATTGATGTGCTTTTTGCATTAACCTTGGAAGCATGTCAACCCAGGACCACGTGACCCCCTTGGAGACTCCAGCCAGGAGTCAGCCTTGGGGGGCAGGGTTAAGCTGCCACTTGGGAACACTGTCATCTTCAGAGTGCCAGTTTGAGCCCTGGCTACACCCCTTCCAACCCAACGCCCTGCTGGTGTGCCTAGGAAAGCAGTGGAAGATGGCCCAAGTACTTGGTCCCCTGCCACTCATAGGGTTTCTGGCTCCTAGCCTCAGCCTGGCCTCAACCCAGCTGATCTCATCTCCACACGAGAGGGAATTCAAGGAAGAGACACGGACAGAGGTAAAGTAGAAACGGGAGGTTGATCTAGACCAAAGCACACATTGGAGTACATGAGGGGGTGGGAAGAGCGGGGAACTACAGGTTACAAGGCTTGGTCTGTTCTTTGATCATTGATGTGACCTGGAGACACAGTGTGTGGCATCTGGGGGTGTGGCTTGATCAAATATTCAAAGGAAATAGAATTCCCGGCAAACCTTGAGTAACACCACTTTTCACACTTTCCACACACTCTGCTTGGAAACCTTGGGAGTATCTTGGTGTCAGGTGCATTCTAGGAGTCCTTCCGCGCTCCCCCATCCCACAACACTCCCGACCAAAATTAGTGGCAGGTATTGCTGTAGAAGCCCCAGCACCAGGTCTGCTCACCCAGCAGAAAGCCAGTTACTGACATCAGAAAGGAAGTGATTGTTGCCAAGTGTAGAGCAAGGAGCAGTGTTGGCTGAGTTCTCCAGACTCCCCAGGAATTAGGGGAGTTAGGGCTCAAAGTTCCTTTTTTTTTTTTTTAAGATTTATGTGTTTTTATTGGAAAGTCAGATATTCAGAGGAGGAGAGACAGGGGGGAAGATCTTCCATCCATTGATTCACTCCCCCAAGAGGCCACAATAACCAGAGCTGAGCCAATCCGAAGCCAGGAGCTAGGAGCCTCCTCTGGGTCTCCCACATGGATGCAGGGTCCGAAGGTTTCGGGCTGTCCTAGACTGCTTTCCCAGGCCACAAGCAGGGAGCTGGATGGGAAGCGGGGCTGCCGGGACAGGAACTGGTGCCCATATGGTATCCTGGTGCGCACAAGTCGAGGGCTTTAGCCACTAGACTACTGTGCTGGGCCCAGGGCTGAAGGTTCATATGGAGTGAAATTGGGGCAGGAGAGGTATCTGGTCAGCTCATGTGTAAATTCCTGATTGGTCAGTGGAATTCTTGACCTTCCTTTGGTCAGAAATGCCAGGCTCATTAGGGAATTTATGAGGGTCAGGTGGGCTCCAGTTGGTCTGCGAGTTACGTGCTGGTGGTGGTTATGGTCTTCTTGGACCTGGAATTCCTCCCCAAGCAAATCCCTCTGAGGATTCCTGGCCATCAAGGTTCTACCTTGAGTCTACCTTGCAGAGCCGGTTGTACCACTCCCTCAAGCTAGTCAGTTCCCTTGAATAAGGGACCAGCAGGCACACGTTGTGCTAAGGGAGACAGACCAGAGGCTGGTCCTGCTTCTGTCATAGAGATTGGGTTTCAGTTTCTGGTGCCCACAAGGTTGTGAAAGAGGAGAGGCTACAGCAGAGTTGTTGGGTGTTGGGCACCCTCATTTTTTTCCATTAAATAATTTATTGATTGATTTGAAAGGCAAGTTACAGAGATAAAAGGAGAGACAGAGAACTCTTCCATCTACTGTTCACTCCCCAGATGGCGACGATAGCCAGGGCTGGGCCAGGGCAAAGCCAAGAGCAAGAGTTTCTTCCAGGACTCTCATGTGGGTGCAGGGCCCACATCCTTGGACCACCTGGTTTCCCAGCATTAGCAGGGAACTGCATTAGAAGTGGAGCAGCTGGGACTCAAACTGGTACCCATGCAGGCAGCAACCTAACCTCTAACCGTGCCAGCCCCCTTCTGCTCCTTTCTGTCAGCTATTTGTTAGCCACAGCATCTACTTCTCCTGCCCGTGTCATTATGACATTTCTCCTCACATCTGTCCCAGGTGCTCAAACAGAAAACAGGAATTCTCTTTGCTCTTGCTCTGCCATCATCTCTCTCCATGACCCCATCCACCAGCCCCCACAGCGTGACTAAGGTCAGTCCACTGCATTCTGCCCGATTCAGCCCGTCAGCCTCTCTGCCTGGGCACTACAACAGCATACTCGCTCTCTCAGTTGCTTCCCAGTGTGGGATAACAGGAAACTCCCACTTGCTCTTTGTCCCTGGTTCCTGGCCCAGAACTCCTAACACCCCTGGAATTTCCTGAGTGCTGGAAGTGTCCTTTGTTGTGCCTAAAAGGCCCCTGGAGATGACTCCCAGGGAGCAGGGGGGCTGCTGCCAGGAAGACCAGGCAGTGTCAGAACTTGATATCCAGCAGGGAGGAGAAGTTGAGAGGGCCACCTGAGGTGAGCAGAGAGGAGGTGGGTAAGGCAGGGCATCCTACAGAGCACCTTGCTTCACACACCTGGGGCCAGCTGCTTTCTTAGTCCTGTGCCTCGTGACATATGGACCTATGCTCCCATCACTTCTTGTTTCCCTAAGCCAGGCTGAAATGGCCCCGGCTGTCACAGGTATAAGGAGCATATAGAAGGGAAGCATCTGAAGACGCACCTTGTGGATGGTGAAATCACAGGTATGCTCTCTATGGAAAGGCTCCTTTCTAGTCGGTCCTCTTAGGAACCAGAGTTGGAGTCTCATCTTGGGCCTGGTAATGTCCTGGGACATGTCCGATTCCTCTCTCAGGTTCCTTGTGTGTTCCTCAGCAGCATGGGGGTAGTACCACCCAGCAGTACTCTGCAGAAGATAATGGAATGAAAAGCTTAAGCTTTTAGCTGCCAAACGGCCCAGGGTTATGATATTTATTTACCTCTTCCATTTTTGCTTTTGTTGTTGTGTTTTTAAAAGTTTGTATGTGTGTGTTTTATGGCATAACCAGAGCCTGGGGCTAGTTCAGGAATGAGCTGTCAGCTCCTGGTATCCTGCTGAGCATCTGTGGAGGTCCTGGGAGGGGTTGGGCTGGGGCCCCATCAGCCTCTCTCCCCTCTCTGGGTATGTGGGAGGCAACGTGACTGCAACTGGAGCTGCTTGTGGCTAAAGGGCTGGGTTCAGCAGAACTAAGACGGGCTAAGAGTGGGTACCAGCAGCTGGCCAGGGCCACACACACACACACACATCAAGGTCGTGGGCCCAAGATCTGGGCATGGCGCAGGCGAGTTTCCAGGGCTGAAAATCATAAAACAAAGGCTCTTTCCAAGTGACCAGGAAGGGCCTTGGTGCAGCTGCCTTTCTCCATTCACGGAGGATCCACAGCAAGCCTGGGGGCCGGAGAAGCCCAGGGTCCAGGAAGCTGGGCCGGAGGGGCCGGCGTTTCCTGGCTTGCTCTGGGTCTCAGTGGGTTGCAAAGGGACCTTGGCTTGTGAATTCACCATCCTCTGCTCAGCCCAAATAGAAGGATCCTTTTCAGTACTCTGCCTGAAGTGGCCCTCAGCTTTGGAACACACAGGCCATTGTGTGTGTGTGTGTGCTGGGACTTTTCCTATAGCCAAGAAAAAGCGACAGAAAGGCTCTTTCAGTTGGCTGCAAAATAAGCAGGCTCTGTCCTGAGACAGGGGCCCATTGCCACAGGGGCTGCCTGGCCATTCATAGGCTGCCCTGACTCCCCTCCACTGTGGGCAAGCTGTGGGACTAGGATTTTGCAAATGCCCTTTAGCCAATAATTCTTTATATAACCAATAGGAAAAACCTGATTGTATGCCTGCAGATAGATATTCCCAAGTCGGGCATCTTTTGTGCAGATACACATGCACATGTATCTATATGGAGTGATAATAATTTCAACTATGATTACTAATAGTCAATAAATAGGATTTGGATGAAATTTTGGCAACAGGGTAATCCAGAGCTGTAGATGTGCCGGGACTTACAAAATTACAAGATGAGGCAGGTGTTTAGCATAGCAGTTAGATCACTTCCTGGGATGCCTGAATCCCATGTCAGTGCCCGGGTCCGAATCGTAGCTGGTATAAGTCTGTCCTTCCACCTGTCGATCAGAACAGCAGTTTTCCTGGGATAGAACTGTTTCATTTGGGTCCTGGAGAAAGACATCATGCAAATGTGTATATTTGGATGCACGTGGAATTTGATGATACTTCCAAAAAGTGGCTTTATGCCTACGGAGGCCGTTGCCACCTGCCTCCCTCCCCCATCTGGATTGGAAGCAGAGTAGCCAGGATTTGAACTGGCACCTATACAGGATACAGCCTTAACGCCCCTGCATCTCAGGGCCAGCTCCCTATGTGCTGCTTTGATGACTAAGCTGTGTACCCTCCCTGGAGCTCATTCCAAAGTGTGGCTCAGGGGGACTTGGGCCTAGGGAGGGATATGGTCTGACAGATGCCACTGGGATTCTGGGCAGGTCAAGTTCAACACTGCATGTGTTATGGATATATCTGTGTGGCAGGCAGCTTGTACACCTGTATGCTCATGAAAACAGACCCCGGACTAAAGGAGAGCTGGGAGGCTTGATGATGGGCCCTCTGTGTGAGTGGGTGGTGGAGGGAATAGGCACCGTGCAGAGTGGCTGGCTCACTGTTTTCCTGCTTGCCACAGACTTCATGCTTCTGTACCCCTCTCACTCCTGCCACAAGTTGAAATCCTTCCCCTAAGGTGATGGTAGCAGAAGTGGTGCCTTGCGCCCAGCATTGTGGGGCAATGGGAAAACAGTGGAAGATGGCCCCCAAGTGGGCCTCTAACACCCATGTGAGAGACCTGGATGGGAATCAAGATTCCTGCCTTGGCCCTGTGGAGCAGCTAGCATTGCAACTGACACCTGTATGGGATGCCATTGTCACAAGTGGTAGTTTTACCTGCTATGCCACAATACTGGCTCCCAACAGTGAGTCTTAATAAACACCTCCAAGAATTCTAACGCATGTGCAGTTCTGGGAACCATTTATTTGTCCAAGAGGGATGTTGGTTCGGTTCATTCTGGGAATATACTTTGAGAAACCTGGTTCTAGCAGATTTCACAACAGACCCACTGAGTGTAAGTCCAGTTACTAATTAATAAATTAGATTGAACAAGGTCCTAGAGCCTGTTTAATATTAATTTTGTTGTAAGTTGTTATCATAAATGCATATTTTTGCAGAAAAAAGACTTTATAAATTATAAGCGAGCACAGCACTTTAAGCCATTGCTTGCGCTGTCCATATCTCCTATTGTACGTCTGGTTGAACTCCACACTTCTGATCCGGCTTCCTGCGAGTACACCCTGAGAGGCACCCCTGCTGCCAACGTGGGAGACCCGGATGGAGTTCCAGGCTCCTGGCTTTCAGCCTGGCTGGCCCTGGCAGGCATTTGAGGAGGGAACCAATAGGATGAACCCACTTCATTCTGTTATTGTGCTTTGCAGCAGGCTGTCCAACTTTATTGTACAAACAGCCTCTCCAAGGGATCCAGTTAAAGTGCAGATTCAATTCAGCATGTGATGGGGGTGGAGCTTGAGATTGTACATTCTCAACAAACTCCCTGGAGGTTCTCAGAATCTGTTGGTCCCTGAAAAGCACTCCAGGGTTACAGGCTAAGGGGCAGCTTCCTTGTATCGTGGTCTTTGTCCTCTGTCCCGTCCCTGCAGACACTACGTCCCTAACATAGACTCAGCCAGAAGGTACTACAGCGTACCAGGCCCTGTGCATATGGATGTCGAGTACATGGGAGTGGAAAACCGAAGATCAAACCCAGAGAGACACATGTAAACATAAACAGACAAATCATGACAGCGGGCCCTCCACGTCTTCAGATTCTACCAAGAGCATATGGAAAATATTCATGAAACAAGGATGCATCTCCTTGCCATTATTGCCTTAATCTAACACATATTGACATACCTCGTTTGAGGTATCGTAGGTAACCTGGAGCTGCCTCACAGTATTCCAAAGCGTCTGTGTAGGTAGACTGCCTGCAAATCTAGATGACTCAAATATCCTGAGAATCTGGAGGCCACCTGAATCTTGCCATCAAGTCCCCTACAGATCCCACAGGCTGGCTCTGTAAGGGGATTTTACAACATTCACAGCAAAATGGAATCCAAAGCACGAGCTTGCTTTTGTGCCAAAAACATAGGTAGAAAACAGGAAGTATGAAAAATCTACAGGCTGATGCTGCGGTGCAGTGGGGGTAAGCCACCCGCTACAGTTCCAGCATCCCAAATGGGCACTGGTTCGAGTCCCGACTGCTCTGTTGCTGATCTAGCTTCCTGCTAGTGTCCTGGGAAAGCAGCAGAAGGTGGCACAAGTGCTCGGGCCCCTGCACCCACATGGGAGACCTTTAACAAACTTCTGGTCCAGCCCCAGCGCTTGTGGCCTTTTGGGGAGTGAACCAGCAGTTGAAAGACCTCTCCCTTTCATTTCTCTAACTTGGCCTTGTTAAATAACAAATACAATTAATCCTTAAAATAATTTGTAAAACCCCCCACCTGTCTATTATTAGAAAAAACAATGCATGAATTTTAAAGTTGTTTTGAACCAAAATAAACTCAATTTTAAAAAATTAGTTGAAAGGGGGGGAATCTCCCACCTGCGGGTTTACACGCCAGTGTCTGCAGCTTGGGCTGGCCCGGACAACATCAGGAGCCACGAACTCCATCCAGGTCTCCCACGTGGGTGGCAGGGGTCCAAGGACCTGGGCCATCTGCTGCTGCTTTCCCAGGTGCCTTACCAGGGAGCTGGACTGAAGTGGAACAGCCAGCCAAGACTCCAGCCTGGCACTGGGATATGGGATGTCGATGTTTCAACGGAGACACCACAAGGATGCAAGAACTTTGCTCTGGTCAGACGAAAGCAGGAGACTAGAAAGGAATTGAAAAGTAACAGCAGGTCCCGCCGCTGGAGAGCCTCAGGGTGGTGTCAGCAGACGCGAGGAGCGCAGGGAAGAGTTAGACCATCCCAAATCCGGTTGCAGCCAGGGAAGTGGACCTCAGCAGCAGTACACCGTTCTTAATCTCCCTCTGGCTGCCCAATGGGAAATGAAACTTCAGGGTCACCGCCGAGCAGGGCGCGCTGGGCCATGCGGGGGCGCCCGGGAGTCAGGTCGAGCGATCCCGGATCGCCTCGGGGGCCAGCCGACTCCAGAAAGTAACCCGGCCCTAGTAGGGCGCGCGCGGTTACAGCTGCACGGAGCGTGCCCACTGAGCTCGCCCCACCGCACCGGGCCACCCGTTCTGTTCGACTGGACACTGTAACACTGTGGCCTTTCCCCTGTCTCCCTCAGTCTCCTTGTTAAACTGGACTCTGATCCAGCCGCAGGTGATTCCCCAGATCTCCAGTTGTCCGTCTGCGGATTGCTTTTCCAGCCGGGAAGCCAAGGCACGGGGTTGGGGGGTGGTGGTGGAGACGGGCCGAGGAGCGTGCTGTGGACCCTGCCCGCGGACTCCCTCGCACCCGGCGGCGGCGGCGGGTCTCCCGGGTGGGAGAGGTCCCCCCCAGGCCGCCCCGGCCCCGTCCTTGCGCAGGACCCCGCCCAGCGCAGCCAGGGGCGGGGCGGGGCCGGGTGCCCGGGACTGGAAGGGAAGCCGGAGACCCGATCCCGTCCGGGACTCAGAGCCGAGCAGCCGCAGCGGCGAAGAACTCCAGCTCAACCCGTGGCAGCACACGGGGCGGCCTCGGTGGGCACACCTCGGGGATCCTCAAGCCAGGGGCGCGCGCCACGCCGCCGCCGCCGCCGCCGCCGGGCACGGCCAGGCCAGGCCTGCCCCGGGGCGCCCGCCCGCCCGCCCGTGGACCCCGCCCCGTCGGCCGCCCCCTTCCCGGCTCCCCGCCTTCCCCAGCGGCCGGCGGGGGCCGTGCGCGACCGGCTAGCGAGCGGCGGGGACTGCTCCCGGCGCACTCACTTCCGCGTCCCGCCGCCGCCATCGGACAATGGGCCGCCCGCCCCGGCTCTCGTGAACTTCCTGCAGCTGCCCGGGCCTCTCGTACTGCCCGCACCGCCCCGGGATCGCAGCCCGCGCGGGAGGAAAGCCGCGGGAACTCCGGCCGCCCCGGGACGCGCCTGCGCCTCCTCCGCGGCCGGCCGGCCCCAGCCGCTGACTTGCTGGCGGTTTCCGAAGTTGGTTGCCTGAGGTGGATGTGATTTCGTTTTTCTTTAGCCTATTTTATGATTTAAAAAAAGAGAGAGAGTCTCTGAGTGGGCTGGGAACTGCTGAGCGCCACGAGCCGCCCCCACGTGGACGACCCTGAGGGGCTGGAGAAGTTGCGAACAAATTTGGTCCCCGCTGGCTTGGAGACCTCAACTTCCGCCGGACTCAAAGTCCCCGGGGTCATGACCCCCACACCTGGCAGGTGCGGTTGTTTACCTGTCCTGCTCAGGACTTGAATCCTTGCCCTGCCCTCCAGTGTCTCTACTCCGCCACGCACTCAGCACTGGGCACCTGGGCGGGACCAGGACGCCTGCCGGCAGCATGGATAAGTACGATGATCTGGGCCTGGAGGCCAGCAAATTCATCGAGGACCTGAACATGTACGAGGCCTCCAGGGACGGGCTCTTCCGCGTGGACAAGGGTGCCAGCAACAACCCTGAATTTGAGGAGACTCGCAGGGTATTTGCCACCAAGATGGCCAAAATCCACCTGCAGCAGCAGCAGCAGCTCTTGCAGGAGGAGGCCATGGCCAGGGGCAGCAGAGGCCCTGTCAATGGCCCACAGGCCCACCATGAAGCTGCTGGGGCCGGCAGGCTACTGAGGGAGGCTGCCGCCCGGCCCCCTCTGGCTGCCCCCACAGTGGCAGCCACCTCGATGCAGCCCTCGTACACTGCCCCAGAGCAGAGGGCCCGGCCCTGTGTCCAGAGCGCCAAGCCGGGCAGCCAGGATTGTGGCTCCAGGGAAGGCCCTGCCAGTTCGGAAAGGTCTGCCCTGCAGCGGCCCGGCATCTGCGAGGACCCTTCGTGCCTCACTCACGGTGACTATTATGACAATGTGTCCCTTGCAGGCACACAGTGGGGTGATGCACCCCCAGTGGCCAACAGCACCGGCCTGGGTGTAGGTGGCACGTGGCCTGGCCCCTCAGCGAGTGACCCGCCATTGCCCAGGCCCTGCGGGGACCGCCGCCTGTACCAGCTACAGCCCTCTCTCAGCCCGAGCAGGTCTCCTGAGCATGCTCTTGGTGGCCAGGATGCTGGCATTGGCAACCGCAGAGCTGAGAAGCCCACAGGCCTTTGGGCCACGGCCTCCTCCCAGCGGCTGAGCCCTGCTCTGTCTTCTCCAGGCTTGGAGAATGGGGTCCTAGGCTTGGGGCCCATGCAACCCAGGACCCCGTCCTCTGTCTCAGCATCCCAGGCCCTAGGCTGCTCTGGTTCGGGGGCGCTTCCCAGAACAGATTCACGGCTGGGGAGTGAGGTCTCGGGCGTGACATGCAAACCCGCTGTGGATCCTCAGCCCTGGTTCCAGGAGGGGCCCAAGTCTTACCTGTCCAGTTCTGCCCCATCTTCTTCATTGTCAGCAACAGCCAGCAAGGACAGCTCCCAGCCGGGCACTGTCACATCAGGCTGTGCAGATTTCAGCTCAGCTCCCAAGCTCAACCCTGCCAGCCTCATCCAACCTGCGATGTCCACTCCGCCTGAACTGCCCCCCAAGGAGAGTCCCCTTGGGTGGTCCTCTGAAGGTAGCGTGGGTCCTGAGCTCCCGGAGAGCTCCTCCCGGGTGAGGCTGCCCTGCCAGACCCTAGCGCCAGGCCCAGAGCTAGGCCCTTCGGCCGCTGAGTTAAAATTGGAAGCCCTCACCCAGCGCCTGGAGCGAGAGATGGATGCCCACCCGAAGGCCGATTATTTTGGTGAGTGATAGGCTGGCACGGTTGGTGACCAGTTGGGGAGCGATGGGGGTCTCTTCTCGGTGTGTGTGTGTGTAGGGGTCCTGCCCCTACCGGTAAATGGCTTGCCTTCATTGGGGTGATGTTGCAGGGGATGCTCCTTTTCCAGGTATTTCCGTGAATGCAGAAACTTGAGAGCCTCCTTGGACAGAAAGTGGACCCTGACACGGGTGTGAACAGTGAAGCAGTGTGGCATTGCGTGTGGCTGTTTATGTATTTATTTATTTATTGGAAAGTCAGATATACAGAGAAGAAGATCCTCCATCCACTGGTTCAATCCCCAGGTGGCCATAATGACTAGAGCTGAGCTGAGCTGATCTGAAACCTGAAGCCAGAAGCCTCTTCCAGGTCTCCCACATGTTTCGAGGCCTTGGGCCATCCTCCACTATCCCAGGCCAGAAGCAGGAAGCTGGAAGCCCATAGGCGAAGACTTCAGCCACTAGGCTACCACACCAGGCTCTTGTGGCTCTTCTTGGGAGAGGGAAATGAGAGGTTTTGGATTCCAGAGTTTCTGGGTGTGACACTGGCCCCTACTTGCTGTGAGGGGCTCATGCTGGAGCTGAGGAGGCGTGGTCTACAGATTCATTCTGTAGGTGTCTGGGCGGGTCTGGCCATTTGAGGAGCAGTGGTTGGGTTGGGGGCTGTGGACTGCTGTGTGTGCGTGTGCACGTGTACACACCTGTCTGAAGGTGATCGCATGCAGTTAAGGCAGGTGGCTACTGCCGTGGAAGATTGTCTTAGAGTGGTAGTTCTTCAAATGGGATCGCTAAACCAGCATGGTTTTGCTGGGAAATAGTTGGAATTAGGGCCTCTTGGGCCCCACCTTAAACCTGCAGGATCAGACCCTGGGGTGGGAGCCAGCCGGCTGCGGTTTTACCAGCCATCTCCTAACTCAGCCCCCATGCACCCCAGGCTCCTGCTGGATGCAAGGTTGTGCCCATAGTTGTGGCTCAAAATAGGCTGGAAGATGCTTCTTGCTGGCTTGAGTCAGACTTGTAGGTTTTTTTTTTTTTTTTATTTACAAAAACCGCAAGCTCTTGGAGACTGCTGGCTTCCGTTGTGTTTTTTTCTGTGTTTCTCTGCTTGGGTCTAGGAGGTGGCAGAAAATGCTGGGTGCATTCCTCTTCTGAGACGTGAGCTGGCTGTTGCACAGGAGAGCTAACCAGAAAGCTGGCCTTGGAAGGGTCTAGAAGTGTTTATGAGTAACGCTATCAAATTTGTTCTTTATATTCTTTCCAAGGCCGAGTGACAAAGAGATCTTCCGTCTGCTGGGTTTTGCTTTCTAAATGGTCATGACGGTCAGGTCGAGGCCAGGCTGCATCCAGGAGCCAGGGACTTGGCCCCCTGTGTGGGCAGTGGGAGCCCAAGTGCCTGGCCGGCATCTCCTGTCTCCCAGGTGCGTCAGCAGGAACCTGAGCTGGGAGTGGAGGCAGGCCTGCATCCCAAGCAGTGCCTTAAGCCACTGCAACACACCACCAGCCCCGGGCTTGGGTTTAGTTTTCTATCTCGGGCTTACCGAGCAACAGGATGGCAGTTTTATTTCTCTGGGAATGTAAGATTACATTCAGAGCAACAGCATTAGCTGGCGCCATTCCTTCCACATCTGTTTCTGAGTGTCTTACCTTGGTTGTGCTGTGTGCCAGGCTTTGGGGATACCCAGTGAACATCTTAGATGGTAACCTTTGCCTTCCCCGGGGCAGGGAGGAGGCTACAGGAGATGGGCAATCAGCAGCAAGCCTGGAAAGACTGTTTGCTATCCTCACTGAGGTCTGTGTGACTGCAGTCAGGTGCAGTTGCAGAGTACCCATTCGGCTCTTCCCCGTGGTACCCATCCATGCGCTTTGAAGAACCATGCATATTTTGTCGAGCCTTTACAAGTCCTCAGGGTCTGGCGTTTGCCTGGTTTCCAGTTCTTTGATCAACTCTTCTGGCACATTCCGCCGCCATCTCTGCGGCTGCGCGAGCAGAGTGTGAAGGACAGACTGTGCATACTGCCGAGCTGGTGCTGAGGGGCTCCTGGCCTGGCTGGACGCCGCTCATGGACTGCCTAATGTACTGTGGCTTCTGTCTGCCATTGGCGTGCCCAGCACAGGGGACCTTGGCTCTGGCTTATCGTGCCTGCCCTCCTCCGTGGTGTCTGCCTGTCTTTACCCCTTTGTAAGGAAAAAGGACCTGGAGGAGCCCCTGACACAGACTAGGCTTCCTGGGAAGCCAACCCTGCCTGGATCATTTCAGTGTACAGAGCGCTCTTGGGGCCTCCTTGTGGGGTTCGGAAGAAGGGCAGGGGTAGCTGGAGGAAAAGGGGGTTTCAGGAAGGGGCCTGGCTATGCAGGTAGTTAGGCCAGAAACACACTTTGAAGTCCCCGAGTTGGCCTCCACGCCCTGTGGTTCGGCCATCAGCCCCAGGCTGCACAGGGAAGGTGGTGACCTCAGCAAGGCTGCCTTGTGTGTTGGGGTCTGACAGGTGAAGCCCACTGCTAGCTGCACCCCAGGGACAGCTGGGCCCTGCAGGGGAGGGCTGCCCCAGGTTCCTGTCTCAAGCAGGCTAGAGTCTGGGCTGCCGCGCTGGGTTCTGGTGGCAGCTGCTCCACCTGACACTGGGTTTTTGGTACATGGTAGGTGTTCCCATATAACCTGCACAGCCACCCTGTTAAGCTCTGTTTATCCCTGAGAAGGCAAGGCCAGAGAGGTTAGTGACTTGCTGAGGGACACACAGACTTCCTTTTGTTCTGACCTGGCGTGCTGCAACTGAATGGTCTTCTTGGTCTGAGCGAATACCCATGTGTGCTCCTCCAGGTATAGATTCGACCCAGCCCTTCCCGGACCTTCTCCACACCATGTTTGGGATCCTGTGTGCCATGCCTGCATGGCTGTAGGTAGGGCTGGGTGGTTGCTGCCTGCTGGGGAGCTGTGCCCTGTCCCAGTGGGCAGGGTGCTCCAGTGGACCTGTTAGTCTGGGAAGGCAGGAATAAGTGGGTGTCAGGGTCTGCTTGACCCAGCAGGGTGCTGTCTGGGCCCCTCCCCACCGCACAGGGGAAAGGAAGAGGTGGCTGGCTCTCTTGTTCCTGCCTGTCTTTGGTGGACATTCCTGAACTTGATCTTGGCCCAAAGGCCAAGAAGCGATGGTGGACATTCCTGTGCTATGGAAAACAGCAGTGGCTGAACCAATGGAAATGGGCAAGGCACTTCCTGGGAGCGGCTTTGCTGCTACTCCCATCCCAGCCCCACTTCCAGGAGCCTCAGGGCCTGAACCAGCTGACATCATTTTGTAAGCGATGCAGGGAGCAGTTCAGCAGGGTGTGTGACCATCCTCCCCTCCTTCTCCGCTGGCTCTCTCAGAAGGTGTGCCTCCTTCTTGTCTTTTCATGATCTCTTGTCCGACTCCCATCAGCATGAGAATCCGTTCCAACTGTGATCAGAAAATGGAGCCTTTTTAGAGTGAGTGGAATCCCTCTGGAGTTCCAGGACCAGATGCAGTCTGCCAGTCCAGCTCTGCAGGTGCACCCCCTGGGGCTGTCCTCATCACAGTGGCAGCTGCCACGTGGTCAAAGCTTGGTCCTCTGTGTCCCTGCCCTGAAGGGCTGTGACTTGGTCCCCAGCTTCAGGACCCTCCCTCCTTGGCACCACCTGTCTCTACGAGGGGAGATGTTGAGTCAGCCCCAGCCTTCAGAGAGGGGCATAGCCTCGCAGGCCAGTGCCCCCGTTGTGCCCTTGGCCGTGTGATCGGGTCCTCCCTTCTCTGTCCCTGAGCTCTGGACCCTGTCCACCTGCTGGGCTGCTTGGTGCTGCCTCGTGTACTGAACCCGCCAGCGTCCCCCTTGACGTCCAGGGTCCCACAGTGCCTGCCTGTCCTGGTTTGTTCCCCCTCCCCTCAGTGCCGGGGGTCCTCCTCTTTGGGTGAGGGAATGGTTGTGTGCTTTGCCTCTGTGATGAGGAAAGAATGCCAAGTTGTTTCCATCCCCTGTTTCTGCTCTTCCCACTAAGAAGGCAGAGCGTGGAATCAGCCTTGTGATGTGGCTGTTCTCGCTGGAAGTTTGAACAAAGTTCTGTTCTTTGATATCTGTTGATTTATGGTGTTCATACAGGGATGTGTTTGGGTGTCAGGAAGCTGGGTGTCCTGGCCTAAAAACAGGTGACCTGTTGCCCTATTCTGAGTCTAGATGACCTCTGAGGGTCCTGTGACTGAGGCTTGGACCTCACTGGGTACCTGGGCTGTAGATGACTAAGTGGGTTGGACAGTAGCCTAGTGTCCCATCTGCTCCTGGCAACCTTGGTTGTTAGTTGCGGTTACATTATCATGGCACATGACAGTCAGTCTTCCTTTAGATATTCTGGGAAATGCTGTGCCATCTCACATGCCTGCCAGCCTTTGAAATCGTCGTGACTGGGGCTGGCACTGTGGTGCAATAGCTTGGACCTTTGTTCTGCAGCACCTCCTATGTGGACGCCTGTGGTTCAAGTCCCGGCTGTTCCACCTCTGATCTGGCTGCAGCTCATATGCCTGGGAAAGCAGCAGAAGGTGGGCCAAGGGCTGGGGCCCCTGGCACCCACATGGGAGACCTGGATGAAGCCCCTGGCTATGTGGAGAATCATCCTCTGTGCTAGAGGACATGCTAATTAAAGTGAGATTAGAAAAGACTTAAGCCTACACTCCCTCCCCTGAGAGAAGAGCCAGTGGGGTGAGTCGCTGGCGTTTCCGTGGTCACCATTGGAGGCTGCCTGTTCTAAGTGGGTTTGGCATCCATGATGACACAGCCAGGACCCCTGGTTTGTGGTACTTGCTGTGTTTTCTTTTTTATAGTATATTTTTTATTTGAAAGGCCAAGACAGAGAGGACTGTCCCCCACTGACTTACTCTCTACATGGTCACAAAGGCCTGTGGTTGGACAGACTGAAGCCAGCAATCTGAGACTCCATGGGAGTGTCCCTCGAGGGAGGACGAGGAGCCGACCACCCGAGCCCTC